ACGCCCCTTTCAAAGGGATATGGGGGTCAGGATCCATCTAATGGCATGTATGGACATTCATTGTGGGGAAACTAACCTATTAAAAAAAATATATATTTCCTCCAAAATGCTGAACCACCCCAGACCTTCTAATTTCAGCCCGAAAGTTGTGATAATTCAAATTATCACAATATTTGCCCCTACGCCCCTTTCAAAGGGATTAGGGGTCAGGATCCATCTAATGGCATGTATGGACATTCATTGTGGGGAAACTAACCTATTCAAAAATAAAATATATTTTCCTCCAAAATGCTGAACCACCCCGGACCTTCTAATTTTGGCCCGAAAGTTGTGATAATTCAAATTTTTACAATATTTGCCCCTACGCCCCTTTCAAAGGGATTAGGGGTCAGGATCCATCTAATGGCATGTATGGACATTCATTGTGGGGAAACTAACCTATTCAAAAAAAATAATATTTTCCTCCAAAATGCTGAACCACCCCGGCCCTTACAATTTCGGCACGAAAGTTGTGATAATTCAAATTATCACAATATTTGCCCCTACGCCCCTTACAAAGGGATATGGGGGTCAAGATCCATCTAATGGCATGTATGGACATTCATTGTGGGGAAACTAACCTATTAAAAAAATATAATATTTTCCTCCAAAATGCTGAACCACCCCGGACCTTCTAATTTCGGCCCGAAAGTTGTGATAATTCAAAATTTTACAATATTTGCCCCTACATATGCATATCCCAAAGGGATATGGGGGTCAGGATCCATCTAATGGCATGTATGTACATTCATTGTGGGGAGACTTGCCTATTAAAAAAATATAATATTTTCCTCCAAAATGCTGAACCACCCCGGCCCTTACCACTTCGGCCTGAAATTGGTGTTTATTCAAATTATCACAATATTTGCCCCTACGCCCCTTTCAAAGGTATATGGGGGTCAGGATTCATCTAATGGCATGTATGTACATTCATTGTGGGGTAACTAACCTATTAAAAAAAATATATAATTTTTTCCTTCAAAATGCTGAACCACCCCGGCCCTTACAATTTCGGCCCGAAAGTTGTGATAATTCAAATTTTTACAATATTTGCCACTACGCCCCTTTCAAAGGGATATGGGGGTCAGGATCCATCTAATGGCATGTATGTACATTCATTGTGGGGAAACTAGCCTATTAAAAAAATATAATATTTTCCTCCAAAATGCTGAACCACCCCGGCCCTTACCATTTCGGCCTGAAATTGGTGTTTATTCAAATTATCACAATATTTGCCCCTACGCCCCTTTCAAAGGTATATGGGGGTCAGGATTCATCTAATGGCATGTATGTACATTCATTGTGGGGTAACTAACCTATTAAAAAAAATATATAATTTTTTCCTTCAAAATGCTGAACCACCCCGGCCCTTACCATTTCGGCCTGAAATTGGTGTTTATTCAAATTATCACAATATTTGCCCCTACGCCCCTTTCAAAGGGATATGGGGGTCAGGATTCATCTAATGGCATGTATGTACATTCATTTTGGGGTAACTAGCCTAATCAAAAAATATAATTTTTTCCTTCAAAATGCTGAACCACCCCGGCCCTTACAATTTCGGCCCGAAAGTTGTGATAATTCAAATTTTTACAATATTTGCCACTACGCCCCTTTCAAAGGGATATGGGGGTCAGAATCGATTTAATTGCATGTAGGTACAATCATTGTGGGGAAACTAGCCTATTAAAAAAAATATATATTTTCCTCCAAAATGCTGAACCACCCCGGCCCTTACCATTTCGGCCTGAAATTGGTGTTTATTCAAATTATCACAATATTTGCCCCTACGCCCCTTTCAAAGGGATTAGGGGTCAGGATCCATCTAATGGCATGTATGGACATTCATTGTGGGGAAACTAACCTATTCAAAAAAAAATAATATTTTCCTCCAAAATGCTGAACCACCCCGGCCCTTACAATTTCGGCACGAAAGTTGGGATAATTCAAATTATCACAATATTTGCCCCTACGCCCCTTGCAAAGGGATATGGGGGTCAAGATCCATCTAATGGCATGTATGGACATTCATTGTGGGGAAACTAACCTATTAAAAAAATATAATATTTTCCTCCAAAATGCTGAACCACCCCGGACCTTCTAATTTCGGCCCGAAAGTTGTGATAATTCAAAATTTTACAATATTTGCCCCTACATATGCATATCCCAAAGGGATATGGGGGTCAGGATCCATCTAATGGCATGTATGTACATTCATTGTGGGGAGACTTGCCTATTAAAAAAATATAATATTTTCCTCCAAAATGCTGAACCACCCCGGCCCTTACCACTTCGGCCTGAAATTGGTGTTTATTCAAATTATCACAATATTTGCCCCTACGCCCCTTTCAAAGGTATATGGGGGTCAGGATTCATCTAATGGCATGTATGTACATTCATTGTGGGGTAACTAACCTATTAAAAAAATATATATATTTTTTTCTTTCAAAATGCTGAACCACCCCGGCCCTTACAATTTCGGCCCGAAAGTTGTGATAATTCAAATTTTTACAATATTTGCCACTACGCCCCTTTCAAAGGGATATGGGGGTCAGGATCCATCTAATGGCATGTATGTACATTCATTGTGGGGAAACTAGCCTATTAAAAAAATATAATATTTTCCTCCAAAATGCTGAACCACCCCGGCCCTTACAATTTCGGCACGAAAGTTGTGATAATTTAAATTTTTACAATATTTGCCACTACGCCCCTTTCAAAGGGATATGGGGGTCAGAATCGATTTAATTGCATGTAGGTACAATCATTGTGGGGAAACTAGCCTATTAAAAACTAGATGGAATTTTGACTGCGCGCAGTCGAAAATGATGCCTCCGCCATAGAGCAATTTAAACAAGTTTGGAGTTTAAATCTCCAGTGGTTCTTGAGATATCATGATAACAATCTCAATGTATGGAATTTCATAAGTTGACCTCTGTGACCCTTGACCTTTGACCTACGTACTCCAAAATCTAATCAGATTGTCTTCCTATGGTGATACACACTATCATTAAGTTTGAAGTTTAAATCTCCAGTGGTTCTTGAGATATTATGACGTGATACATACTATCATTAAGTTTGAAGTGAAAATTCTCCAGTGGTTCTTGAGATATCGCGATAACGATCTCAATGTATGGAATTTCATAAGTTGACCTCTGTGACCCTTGACCTTTGACCTACGTGCTCCAAAATCTAATCAGATTGTCTTCCTATGGTGATACACACTATCATTAAGTTTGAAGTTTAAATCTCCAGTGGTTCTTGAGATATTATGATAACAATCTCAATGTATGGAATTTCATAAGTTGACCTCTGTGACCCTTGACCTTTGACCTACGTGCTCCAAAATCTATTCAGATCGTCTTCCTATGGTGATACATACTATCCTTAAGTTTGAAGTTTTTACATCTCCAGTGGTTCTTGAGATATCATGATAACAATCTCAATGTATGGAATTTCATAAGTTGACCTCTATGACACTTGACCTTTGACCTACGTGCTCCAAAATGTAATCAGATTGTTTTCCTATAGTGATACACACTATCACTAAGTTTGAAGTTTAAATCACCAGTGGTTCTTGAGATATCATGATAACAATCTCAATGTATGGAATTTCATAAGTTGACCTCTGTGACCCTTGATCTTTGACACACGTGCTCCAAAATCTAGTCAGATCGTCTTCCTATGGTGATACATACTATCCTTAAGTTTGAAGTTTAAATCTCAAATGGTTCTTGAGATATCGCGCTAACAAACTCAATACAAGGAATTTCATAAGTTGACCTCTGTGACCTGTGACCTTTGACCTACGTACTCCAAAATCTAATCAGATCGTCTTCCTATGGTGATAAATACTATTCCCGAGTCTTAAGTTTAAATCTTAAATGGTTCTTGAGATATTGTGATAACGGTCAAACGGGACGGACGTACGGACGGACGTACGGACGGACGGACGTACGGACGGACAACCCGAAAACATGATGCCTCCGGCACCACCTTCGGTGGCGGAGGCATAAAAACCTTAACCGCAAGCCTGGACCCAAGATTATATTTAATCCTTACCCTTAAACTAATCCAGTGGCCCATTGCAACCCTACCCATGACCTCATACCTTTGACAAAAAGAGCCTGGAGCAAATGTTGCTTCACCAATATTTTTCATCATCTACTCATATCACATTTTCTCCTCCCAACCCTTCTGTCTCATCTTGTCTTGCTCACCGATATATAAAATTCTTCACACTCCCCAACCACTATTCCTTTAGGGATGATGAAGATCTTACCAGGAACTCACCTACACTGAGGGCCACAGGGTTCTCCTCTCTCTCTCTCTTTCTTCCATCTCTCTCTCTCTCTCTCTTTCTTCCCTCTCTCTCTCTCTCTCTCTCTCTTTCTTTCTTCCCCCTCTCTCTCTCTCTCTCTTTAGCTCTTGTTCAGAAGATCTTACCAAGAACTCTCCTGCACTGATGCAATCCCTCAAGGATCTGAGACCATACTGCGACGTGTCCTGCTGGATCATCATGGTGAAGGCCGTCGGAGGGCCACAGGGCTCTCTTCTCTCTCTCTCTCTCTCTCTCTCTCTCTCTAGCTCTTGTTCAGAAGACCTTACCAAGAACTCTCCTGCACTGATGCAATCCCTCAAGGATCTGAGACCATACTGTGACGTATCCTGCTAGATCATCATGGTGAAGGCCGTCGGAGGGCCACATGGCTCTCCTCTCTCTCTCTTCCCCCCCCCCCCCCCCCTCCTCTCTCTCTCTCTCTCTCTGTTCAGAAGATCTTACCAAGAACTCTCCTGCACTGATGCAATCCCTCAAGGATCTGAGACCATACTGTGACGTATCCTGCTAGATCATCATGGTGAAGGCCGTCGAAGGGCCACATGGCTCTCCTCTCTCTCTCTTCCCCCCCCCCCCCCCCCCCCTCCCTCTCTCTCTCTCTCTCTTGTTCCGAAGATCTTACCAAGAAATCTCCTGCACTGACGCAATCCCTCAAGGATCTTAGACTATACTGTGACGTATCCTGCTGGATCATCATGGTGAAGGCCGTCGGAAAGCCACAGAATATTGAGATCGGGTAGTCGTTGAATACCTGGAAACAGGAAGGTACGGTCAGAGGAGATGGGAAAGAGAGAATGATGAAGATAGTAATAATGATGGTGATGATGATGATAATGAAAATGATGATTATGATGATAAAAAAAATGTTAAATAATGATAATGAAAAAGATGATAACAACAACAACACTAGAAATGCAATCGTGTCACAACGATGTGCGTGCAATGACGCCATGTTTCTACGTGTCAAACGAAAGAGCTTCTCTCGCCCTATCCAGAGCAATTTGTAGGAAGTCTGTAGCTTCTGTGATATTGGAGATAGGTAGGGCGAAAGAAAGGCCTCAACGGTGACCTTGATGGGATGGTAGTGACTATGCCTACGAAGTTTGAAAGAAATTGGGATATGGGAAAGGACGTGGAAAGGGCTCGCAAGCACTGCGTGCAAAAACCAAGGGGATTTGGTGCATGTTCGTCATTGCAATAAAGATCGTTCTGGGGGTCAAAAGCGTGAACCCGATATGCCCCATAGACAATGCGTGTAATGCATGAGCGGAAAACGTACAGGATCTGTATTATGACCGGAGTTAAATTGTTTTTTCTCTCTCTCTTTATGTCTCTTTATGAGCCGTATTTGGTATCATTAGAAAGAGAATTTCATGAATGTTATTGTAAACCACTCTCTTTTTCCCCATGATAATCCTATCGAAACACGTGATGTAAAATAGATTTATAGGACAAAATGGCGTCTTAAATAGCCACATTGACCAATTTTAAAAATCCGGCCATGAGGTGCCCTGCGTATTGGAACTCGGCATGTCACTGCAAATTTTCAAGGAAAAAAAAGACGTTTAAGGGGCTAAAAGCAGTCTGAAAAAATGACGTCATAGCCGATACGTGTTAGATTCGGGCGGAAACTCGGCGGAATTCGTGTAGTGATCTTTGTTCAAATGCGATTTATTCACAATTTTCTGTGTGAACATATACTATACTTGGTATCATTCGAAAGGGCACTTCATTGCGGTCAGTTTGACACCATTGTTATCTTCGCGCAATGTATTGCACGCATTTAACGCGCTATCACGCAATGCATAGTAAATACATCATTTTTTGAGATAACTTTGCGCTGACATAATCAAATTTTACCAAACTTTGCGGACAGTTGTCACGTATATAAATACATGTGTGTGCCAAGTTTTATTGACGTAGGTCAAAGGATCGTAATTTTAGAGCAAGTTGAAGTTATTTTGGAATTTTCTTGAAAATGGCGAATTTGGAGGGCAATTTTCTCAAATTTGGTCAGTGATAGGGTATATAATTTTGTATATGGCTGGAAAGGGCATATCTTCAAGTATCTAAATCCAAAAAAGGGTACGGGTTTGCCAAGCCATTATGGAGATACGGCCACAGAGAGAAAGCCAATTCCCAGAACTTTAGAGGGCGCTATTTATGTTGTGCAAAGTCATTGGAGCGTGAAATTTGGCATGGCTATGTGCAATTATGAGATAAGGATACTGTGAGATTTAAATACAAAACGGAATTTATATGAGAAAGTTATGGCAGTTTTAGATTATTTAGGTGTCAATTTTTCAAGAATTTGAGAGATAGTTGACGGAGTCGGTTTCAGATTTGAATTTTGAGTATGAAGATGGCATTTTGAAGGGCAGGTTATACGTCGCAGATAAAAGAACATCTCTTAGACTATCTAGAGGAATTTGTTAGAAATGTGTAGGATCTAGGATAGTGGAGATAGGAAGGAAGAAAGAAAGGCCTTAAAATGGACCAGAAACGGACAAAATGGCGCCTGGACGGTTATGCATGAGTGATTTCGAAAATCGAAGAATGTAGTGACCTTGAAGGGATGTTAGAGACTATGCCTATGAAATGTGAAAGGAAAAGGACATGAGAAAAGCACCTAACTAGGAATAACAAACATTACGTGCAAAACGAATGCGATTTCCTGACGATAAGGATAAGGAAAAGGAAAAGGAGGAAAAGGAGAATATTAATGGGGCAGAATGTGAACGAAAACAAGGCAATGACGAAGGTCGTCATTGCAAAAAATTTGTTCTTTTATAGTACATTTCAGGAACACAAGCCCCACAACAAGGCACTTCACAATTAACAATGTACATTGCACACAATCACTGGGAACATTTATCACAGAGATAATTGTCAGCAGAAAGCCAGACGACAATTCAAGTACGGCACTTTACAAATAGATAACACCATTATCTCTTTCTCTCTCTCAACAGAAGATTTATCATGGCATTTTGTTCACAAGTATCTATTTCATGCGTGCATATGACCAAATACAACAAAAAGTTATTACATGAAAATGCACACTGTGATCTTGAGACAGAACCCTCCCACTCCAATTGTAGAAACTGTCAGGACAACTTGTGGTTCTCATTATTTTATTGTGAGTATCAACCACTAAAACATATTTTGCTGTGTATGCAAGTTGAACTACCGGTAAACTCTCATTTAACATAAAAGCGAATTACCAGTAGACACCCCATACTGGCCTGAATTGAATATGGAACTTGAGTCTGATTGCGGTTCCATGCTCAGGATTTTTATGTTACACTTTATATTCTTAATTGTTAGACTGTACAGTTTTTTTAGGTTGATTTTATACATTCTAGCAGAAACTAATGATATGGTTATATAAATGGTATCTCTTAAAGGTAAAGACCAGTATTGGAAATGCCCCAATTTCAAAAAATGAAATGGAAGCTCTCATTACCAATCATGTGAAAGAATATGTTTTGACTAATACATGATGATAAAAAATTTGCCGGGAAACCGCCTACAAGTTCATATATTTGGTAAATTTGTATCTCTCATGGACTGTGAGAGACATAGGGTAGTCCCATATACATCTTTCTGTGTATAGTGCTTGTAACTTTACGAAGACTGGGCCAAATTTCTTATCATTTTGATGATTCCAGAACCTTGCAGATGCTAGATGCTAGAGGATCAACCTTTTCTGATCGATTCCACAACGTTTCTTTCACAATGCAATCGCATGACCATAACTGGTCTTTACCTTTAAGATAGGCCATTCCTTATAAGGCTTGGAGCATCGGGTGTTACTCTGACTACACCAAAGTGCCAAGTCAACACCCTTACATACCTCCTAGCCTCCAAGACTGGTGAACACCAAGTAGGATATGCAGTTCAAACCAGTTCAAACCGGTAGATACCAGTTGGAAATCCTTACTGGTTTCAACTGGTTTCAACTCGTTTCAACTGGTATCAACTGGAATTTCAACCTGGTTATACTTACCTGCAGAGTTTGTTGTGGATCAAACCTAGGTGAATGATGGATAAAAACACAGGATCCCTGGCCCCAGGGAGCATAGACGTTACTGTAGGCAGACTTGGCCCATCCCGTGTCCGACATGTTCCAAAAGATATCATGCGGCGTCAGATCCAGCCAATACCTGGACGATAGCGGAATGAAAATTGATTGTTAATCACTGATAAAAATCATAGAAGTCAAAGAGGTCAAGATAGATTTCCTTTATTTTGTATTGATCCGGTTTGCCTCAAGTGGTTCTTGTGATATCGTGTTAACGAGAAAATGGGATGGACAGCCAATCCGAAAACATAATGCCTCCAGGGAAAAAAAAACCTCTGAACAGTTTGGTTTGAAACATCTCAATTTTGACAAATAAAGTGACTGGTGCTGATGTTGGACGATTTTGACCCTTAAAGGTGAAAATATCATGATATTGCTAATTTTACTCTATATCTCATAAATATGAAAATCATTCTTAAAGTTTACAGTTTACTCTTAATTACATTCTCATCATATTGATAAATTGCAAAAGATTGAAAACATAGTTTTCAAAGCAGAAAAAAAGGATCGTCACGCTTTCTGACTGACCCAGATATATGCTGTTTTTTTAAACCTTTCAAAGTTAATTGAAGACGATTAAAACTCTAAGGCCTCACTGACGTCAGAAATGGGACGTCCGTGCATCAAAATTTTGTTATTAAAGGTTTAATAATTGGACTGAAATGCCAGTAACGATATTCCATCAACTTTCAGAGACTGGGTCTGATTATCATAATATCGAGGGGTCAGTGACACAAAGACGTAACTCTATTTTGGCCATTTTGAGAGAAATTAGTTTAGAGGTCCACTTAGGCCTTAAGAAGTTAAGTCTATTTTTCACTAGCCATTGACTTCAATGAGGTGTTGGGTGGAGTTACGGTAAGTCTTTGTTTTTCCTGGAAAGACTTCATTTAATTTCCTGAACATTTTTATTTCAAATACTCATTTTGGCAAAATATGGAGTTACGTCTTTGTGTCACTGAACCCTCGATATTGGCCACACACAAGGTTTCCTTGACGGGATGGAATACTTGTACTCACTTTCCTGTGATGATGTGACCGAGACCATAGCTAACATGTGTGTGTTCAGCCATCTTAGGCTTGGCTGTAGTCCCACTGGTAAAGAAAACTGTCATGGGGTCACTACCTCGTGTCCTCACACACTGCAAAGAAAACATGTTTTGAAAGAGATAGAAATCAAAACCAAAATCAAATAAATATAAATCATAAATATATGTTAGATAAGTGAACTTACCGGTAAGTGCACTTATCTGCATTTATTTACATCAAAAGAATGGCCTAGTTTAAGTCCGATTTTTACAATCAATAAATATACAGTTCAACATAGAATTAGAAAATGCTTTAACGTCGAACATATCCATTTTTATTCATGGTGAAAATATTTTAAATCATGTGAGTCATCCTAGACCAATTACCTGCACAGGAATTCTTTCATGATAATATATGCAACTGCTCTTAAAACAAAGTATATTTTATCCCTGCTTTAGCTCAGCTGCCATGATAAGGCACAACAGCATTCAAGGAATTTCTTTCAAATGGGTACCATTTTACCTCTCCTGAGTTGAGAGTGGCAAATGTTTAGCTTACCTCGTGCTCATCTGAAGCTGCATCGTAAAGCTCTTGGAAATCTAACCAACCAGGTCTGTAATAAACAGATATATTGATTCGTTAAAGAAAATGAAATGCATCAGCGGTTCTTGCCAGAATAGCAATAGTTTCTAGAAATGGCCATTTTGTAAACCTTCTTAAGCTTACCTATCGCTTCTGATCTTTTCATCCTTGTCTCTGATGAGAATTTTATGTTGAAAACCATCAGTATCCTTGACAACCTGAGAAAGATGATTATGAAATGAAAAAAAATTAATATTGGCAAATTGTAACCTCCATTGATGGGATGCTGTTTTAAAGCATGTCTGCACTAGTTTGGCCAGGGGGATTAGACCTCCCTGCAAGGTCACTGACAGGTGGTTATCTCAGCTCTCAATTAACATGAGAAAAAGGGGATCATGGGGGACCAACAGGCACCAATTAGGCATTGTTTGTTATATAGAGGGCGCAAGTAGCTGTACGTAGTGCACATGGGCTTTAAAAGCAGTATATTACTGATAACATTCAAAACATTATTTTTTACAACCATCAAACATGGGGGGAGGGGGGGACGTAAAAGAGGGGACAGCAAAACTAAGGGAGATGCGAGTTGCTTTAACAGTATGGTCAGCTCTCTACTGTTGACTACAAACTGACCCAGATGGACCCTGCCCTAAGCAATAGATTATGATGGTGTTTACATAAATCTCATCAAATCGCTGAGGTCATCAAAGCTGAACAATAGTTAAGTAAAATAAGGAATAAGTAAACACTGCTGTTTATTCTCTATGGTAGCTGCAAGAAACATTGTCTTATCTTCTTCCCCAGTGCCGTATTGATCTGCGCATGTACTGACCTGCGCAGTGTGGAAGAAAGGTCACTATCTACTGCCAAACATTGTATTTGTGGTAGGGTGAATTACACAAACACATTTCTGAAACTGTCATGAGAAGGGGTTCAATGGTTTCAAATTTCCCTCCTAGGTTCCTACCTTATCAACCAGATGTGAGATTTCTTCATCTGTAATAATGCAGACAGCTTTGGAGCTCTCCAGTCTGTCTCTGATATCCATCTCTCTGAGCTGAGTAGAACCAGGCACAAGCACTGCCCCTGAAAGAAAAAGAATGATGTAACATTCTGGTTAGTCCAGTTTCTGTCAGTTTTTACATATTTTAAATTCTTAATTCATCTTTGTCGTCCTCCCTTACATGCATCACACACAGAGCGCGGTGTCACTAATCTTGGGATCCCCTAACATACACAGAACCAGAATTTTTGAAAAATCTGATAACTTTTCCTCTTTCTTTTCTCCATCTTCTTTATCTTCCCTTGTTTTGTAATCTTGATTTTATGTAAATTATGCACCAAAGTTATTGTAAATTTTTATATTTTGTGAGGATCATTTTTAACTAGCCATTTATGTGCTTTTCAAAATCCTCCCACTTCAGATATTTTTGAGAGATGATTATTGTGGGCCCCAAACATATTTTGAAGAGGGGATTTGATCAGTAAGGCTTCCCCTTCGCAGTGATATGAATTTTGCATCAATTCAAAACACTTTTGATTCTTCGGGTGACTACTTTAAGACTAAGACTTCCATAAGATAGTCCCTTGATATGCTTGAGCTTCTTACCTATTCTCAGACAAGCCAGATTGAGGAGCCACCATTCTGGTAAGCGTGGTAGGATGACCATCACTTTATCATGCTGCTTGATATGACAGCTCTTCTGCAGCATATTGGCAACCCTGATTTGGTTACAGGAAAAAAAACATTCAAAAAATCAAACATAAACATGAAAACATTGAATTTTCAGTATAAAACAACAAATCAAGTGGAAATTTCAAGTGACATTAATATTTTGTTTTCATTTTATATTGAAAGTGATGCAATTTGTAACTTATCATTTGAAATCACACTATTTTCATGTTCATCAACATTTTCAATTTCATCCATTCATCTATATTTCCTTCTCTTGTCTCTGTCGATATAAATTCATCACTTGCAGTCTGGTAAAAAACTCACTGGAAATACTTTTTTTTACGATGTTTTCATTTTAATTCAATTTCAAAGCTTAGAAATGATTTTGAACGACAACTATTCATTAATTGTTAATTTAATGTCAAAGATTACAAATGTTATGCAACTCAGAAAATACCCCATGGTTAGTATCAAAACTTAATGTGTGAAATTGAAAATTGCAGCTGCTCAAAAACGAAAGTTCTACTAGATGCGGCGATCGCCAAAACAGCATCCTTTGGTGATCAAAAACCTGGCAGCTAGCTTTAGTTTTCCATTAAACGTCCAGGGAAGGTGTCTGCTCTTTGACACCAAAACTGTCACACAGGTACATGTAATTAAACTGGGATGTGTCCTGGAACACTTTTCTGTGTACCTTTGACCTTCGTGACTAGATTACCTCTATAGGGGTCACATTTATATTATATTAGATGGCTTTGAGTGTGATACAAGAATATATTGCTTGAGCTATGACAATATTGAACAAGTTGGAGGCAAGTCCAATATTGTCATAGCAAGAGCAATATATTCTTGTATCACACGAAAACAAAGCCATATAATATTATTATTATCTTTATCAGGCTGACTAGCGAATTAACAAAATTTGACTTACCTCGATAAATATGGATTTTTGTGTGTGTGTGATATCGATATCGATAATTAAAGTTCCTGGATGACTGAGCAATACAAAAACAATATTGGTCAGTCATCCGGGTACTGCGCTAAAGATATTGAATACACTGATTTATTGTACCACTTGGAAGCCTTATGTAGATAATAAAACAGTATCTCCCAAACATCGTCCGTTTGGAGCTAGAAGGATGTTAACTCATACTTTAACACAGAGTTAAAGCCCTTATGGTTCTGAACAGAAGACACAGAATATTGCTTACTTTTTTGACTTTTCTGCAAGATCCCTAAAGGACCACTTGATTTCATTTCCTTTGGTATCTATCCACCAAAAAGCTGGGTTGCTGGTGGACCTCTCTCCCGTCTGTGAAAAAAAAAATTAAAAAAATGCAAATTTCTGTAACTGACTTCTTCATAAAAGATACACTGGGAAAAATAAAGTGAAAAAGAGACAAAATATATACACCATGTATACCAAACGAAGCCTGAACAGCATGCACTATCACTTTCCACTATGGCTCAACCTATATTATGTAAAATCTGTATTTACTATTTTTGCATAAGTGTAAGGAAAGACGCAAGAAATCTTTCAACAATTTTGTGAGCAATTCCCATTTTGACAGTACGGTATGATAGTTGCCAACTGTATCAAATAAAATTTTGAAGGCAGAAGGAAAGGGAATTAAACTTCTTCCTTTCCAAATTCATACTTTTCAAGATAAGCAAATCTATGCTCCATTTGTAAATTTCTAAAATATTAATGATTTCAGTATAATATATGCAAATCATTATTTCTTTATTTCATTTTTTCTTGGGGGCACGCTACAAGAGTCCTATCTCGCACCCCGGGGCAACTTGTCTGACACGGCTGGTTGCAGCAACTATTTCGAAGATCAAGATACATTAATCTGGCTCTAAGGAGACACGAACGAACGATTATTTCTTATGAATCTTAGAGAGCTAAATTAAAACATTTTTACACACCTCTTCCTTCCTGGCCCATTCATCCATCACATCACTGGCAAAATTAAAATACTCTGGAACATCAATTTTGAACTCCTTGCGGCCCAACTCATAATCGTTGAAGCCTGTCATAGAGACTGCCGACAAGAAGGACCTCGACGACTGTTGCCATGGCGACAGGGTCACGTTCAACGCATCTTTAGTGTTCTTCCATAACGGTTTTGTGATGCTGTAGTTACATGGAGTCGCACATGTTCTGAAGATGCTCGGAGATGGACGATGCTTGGCAATGATTGCTGATGTACATGCAGCTCTCCGACTCCTTTGCAAGATGCTGGAGCTGGAGGTGGGTGAGAGGGGAGCTCTGGCCCAATCTTGGCAGGAGATGGAGCGCAAGGATGCCTCACAACAAGATGAAAATGTTCTCAAGTTTTTGAGTGTAGAAACTTTCCTGCTGGCTAATTCTTTGAAAGCCCGAAGGTTTCGGTTCACAAGAGCAATTTGTCTAGACATCTTGGGTGTTAATGACTAATTAGCACACAAAAGTGATATTTATCGAGACAGGGCTTAACGTTGACATCCAAATGCAAACTTGAAATAGACAAAGAGAGAAAGAAAAAAAGAAAATATACTAATAGAACATACATGAATCTGAAATAACATTAACAGTTTAAAGACTTGCGAACAAAAAGCATGACTCTCCTTGAAACATTGACTATATTAATATATACATGATATTAGTTTTAAACATAATTTCGTCCTTCATTCCTCTACACATATCTTCTTCAGGAATGATATTTCATTTTCATGAAGCGGACAGGAGCAATGAAGCGGATAGTCGGGGAGCCGAGGCGAGGGCTACGGTTTGAGTTACGCCCACTTAACTCAACTGCTCATGCTCAAGGTTGAAAATTAAATCTATGAAACGTACTTGTAAAACTCTCTTGCCATTCTGACATTGACGAAAATTTAATTACTTACCATGCACTACTCACCTTTTCACACATTAGCCGAGGTTGTTTGGTATTTTGCAAGGCAAACAGTCAAAAGAATCACACCACAGCATTGCACGAGAACTGATCCGAGGTCCTGCTGCGCATGCTGTAAGTGCTACAATATACACCGGTACCCCGAGCCCGACTCCCTCCAGCTCCCTCGGCCTCGGAATACGGGCACAGGTGAGGCTCGATCTTGCATGGTCACCAGAGAGCCATATATATGCGCTTTTCAAGGTTTTCTTGCTTTTCTTGCAGTCCAATGCAACCTAATTGTATAGTGATATCATCATTTTAAAAGATATGATGTGCTTACATATTTTTAAAAAATCTAATAGAAAGAATGTTTTCAAATTAATACTGAATTGAGGTCTAAAATAGCCTATACTGCTTACTCCAGAGTATTGAAATATGAATAAAGACTAGTCAACTCCAATTTGCAGGGGGGTTTTCCCTATTAAACAGCTGGCGGTTACGGCTGACCTGAGAATCTAAGAGTGAGAGTTTATTTTGTTGTAGTTGCTGCTGTTTATAATGGCAATATACATATTTTAAAACTATCACTCATAGTGATAATATTTTGCTTCTTTGGCCCAAATATTGTTATCCTCTGATACTTGCCACACTTTCCTTTTACCATGTTTACATTATTACATTTGTAATTTACTTTTAATTTGAAGTAAACAAAGTTCAACAAAACGCTGTAAGAAGGCCTACGTGTATCATACAATCGCCCCGGCAATCGCCCTCCGTTTGTTTCCCCTTCACAGACGTGAAGAGTGTACATAAACTATTAACCCGTGTAAATTTCACTAACTAGGCCTAACTTATATACATGTATTGACTTTAAAAGTACCAGATATTAAAACTCAAAATGATATTGTAATGATATGATTTTTTTTAAATATGATTCACCGAGAAGGATAGATTTATAAGTCCATTAGGGACTTCCGGAACCAAGTATGCAAGTGCGTGGTATATAACTATAAAATAACATGTCCATGTATAAAATAGGGGTATGCAGAATATATATAGGCCCCATAAGTAAATATAATATAATCTCATGGATAAGTGCCTCATTAATTATGTATATGTTTTGCTTTGTTTCATTTTTGATTAACTGCACCATTTTTCATCAAAAGCCCATATTTGTTCCTTAGCATTTCTTGATATACATGAAATGTTTTTCATTTTTAATGAATATCTATAAGTCAGTGCAATCAATTTCCTTGGGGAGTGTCTACGTTTAGTTCACACCCGAGTTTTTTTTCCCTCTGATTATTACATAAATGTGTCCCAAAGGGAGCCACCCTGTTCCACACCTGAGCGACATAGGATTTATTTTTTTCCTTTAAAAAATTCTGAGAAACACGGGTTTTACCGGATGGGGTCGAATAAAAAAAGACAGGATTTGGTAACCTGGCATGATAAAATAATAATAATATTAATGAAAACCCTGATAACAAAAAAAAACAGGGACACCAAACAAAATTACGATAAAAGAGAGTTGAATTAAATAGGAAAACTATAAAGGTGGTCACTATATTGTAAAAAAAAAAGAATAGACGGTAATTATGAATCGTACGAAATTATCTTTCAAAATGTTAACGCACCGTATAGCTTGGCTATTCATTCATCTACAGATTCTAGAAATACGAAGGAAAAAAACACATTAACATGCGATTGGAATGTGTATGTGTGATCTTATAAACAATGGACTGCCATATACGCTTTTTGTTTCTTCATATCATCTCACTTATCAATCATCCCTATTAAAAATAAAGAGCAGCGAAACTGTTACCTCCATGTAACCGACCAAATCATGATGGAAAAACGGTATTTTTCGAATTCATTTTCTTTGGCATGGAATCAACTGCCAACAGATTGAACTCAAGGACTGTGTTTAGTAGAAAATTGTGAACAAAACAAAATGTATCCTCCATCTCTTCGGTGAATTTTCTTTTGAACAAAAATCTCAATTTTTCTTTAAATAAAAAAAATAATAATAATAAATTTGAGTTTAACATGGTATCAAGCTTTTAATCATATTTCTTTCGAATAAAATTGGATTGTTATTATGATAAATCAAAATAACACAATCGCAATGACAACTCAAGGGCAAATTTAATATCATATTGTTTGTCCAATAGAAATCATGTTCGGATCTCGTAAAACGTCATTGTATATAATATTTACACCTTTTCTAAAGGGCTTGTAACGATTTCTCAGGTAATCATGTTATCAAGTTTTGAGTACTTTCGTAGAACACGCTATGATTTGCTATCTGATCTACGAACTTAGAGTTAGGTTACTTGAGCCAGCGTTTCGTTGAAAACACGAACAACGATGGTATACTTGACGCAGATTTTAACAAAATAAATGTAAATGGTCACCGAGTAGAGACTAACACAAAAGAATCATCCATGATTCTCGGGGATGATTTAAGAGAGCCTTCATAGAGGTCGACTCTATCTGAATTTATGGGCGGATTCCCCACTGAATATGAAGCTAACCAAGTATATAACTGAAAATTAATGTTACATGTCCAATATAATACAAAATTACTTCTAAAGTGCACAAAACCCATAAGTTTCCTGTTTGCGCAAATTGTAAAGCAGATAATCATGCTTACCTTATTTAGCAGTAATTATTTCCATGGCCACACCACGCCTGAAATTAAGACGATTATATTTTCCATTTAGTCTCCGAACCTTTATATTATTATGATTACTATGAACTATTATGAAATGATATATAGACAGTCGTTTTTTTTAGTAAGGCTACCACGTGGTGTTACCGAAAGCCTCCAATTGTGAATACTTTTTCACCTTGGAAACCTACAGAGAACTTAATATTCATGAATCTGTTGATTATTTCTTAAGGTCTTAATAGGCTAACTCCACCCTTCTTTTACAGAGCAGCTTTGCTCTATTCACTAGAGACATGGACGTGTAACCTTGATATACTAGTAGAGTTGTCTCGAATGAAAGAAGAAAATCATAGATGCAGAAACTATAGGGTGATAGTTTGAACGAAGCGAGTAAACAATAAGAATATCATGGGTTTAAAATAAAAAGGGAGATAACTGCGTGTCTACGCAGGAGAATTTCAAAAGGTATGCTCTAGAGACTTGTTGTGTAATCTTAACAGAGAGTTGAAAATCACAGATGCAGATACTAGGGTCAGAGTTTGTACGAATCGAGTAAACAATAAGAATGTCATGGCTTTGAGATAAAAACGGAAATAACTATATTCAAGGGAATTTTAAAAGGTCAATCACTTTGACGATGAATGGGAAGTCCACCTTGATATTATGTGGGTTCAATAAAAGCAGAAAAAATGAGAAAAACAAATCTCGGTGACAGTTTCGAGCAAAGTCTGAACAGAAATATGAAAGTTGTGATTTTTGAAGGAATAGATTTGCTTCATGCAGGGGTTGTATACAATTATATTTGCAATAATTCTATTTAGTGGGAATGTATAATCAACATTTTCTTAAGAGAAACAAATATTTGAAGCTTTGTAGTAAAGGAAAAATGGGTGAGGAGGTCGCAAAATATTTCAAACACTTACCAATTTGGGTTTGATTGATTGCACCTTATTTTTAATCAGTTTTTGCTCAATTTTTCATTGACATGTTTTTTCTTCTACCTCTTTTAAAACCAAATTAATATAAGGGTGACCTTCCCCTTCAAGTCGAAAAATTTCATTTTGTTGCAGCTTATTATACAGCCGCTGAGGTGTGATGTTTCTTAATCAGTTGCAGATCATACAGCTGAGATGACGTATATAAACATTGAGTACACTCCCAAAAGAGGGGAAGTGATAATGTGACACAGTTTCCCTCATTAATATCGTTGTTCACATGCAAATAATCGTTTATTTTCCCATTATGCAATTATAAAAGGGCGTAGCCACTGTAGGGGGGGGGAGGGAACCGGGCCACTTGCCCCAATGAGATGGCGACAAAGAGGAGAATAAGAGAATAACGGGGAAAGAAATGAAGAGCGGGAAGGTACGACCTTTCATACACCCGGTTTACTCTGTCATTATCATTATGATAGTTTATCTAAGGTATTGTTCTCTCGTAATTCATCCACCCAATATTTCGGGTTCCCTAGTGAAACCAGTGCCCCCATAAAATTAATGACTGGACCACTCCATGCCATATTCATATTCTTAGAGCTCCTGCATGTGACGTTTCTTTTGACTAAAATTTCTGATCATTATAGCCACTATAAAGGTGAAGACGGTAGACTAGTGGATATGTCACCAGACTGTGGATCACATGGTTTGTGGTTCGAGTCCAACCACGGTACTAGTGTCCGCTGGCAAGACATTAATCCACATTTGCCACACTCCACCCATGTGTTAAGTGGGTACCCGATATAGGATGCGAACGTTAATGTTTGGTTGAATTGGCATGTGTGCTCCCTTAGGATATATAGGGAGCGAAGCGTGTGCATTATTTTTGTTGTTGTATGTTTTATTAAATCAAAACTAATATCAAAATATTTACATGCATGTCATCAATAACGATTGGTATACACAACTTTATATAACTAAGCAATAGAAAATAAAAAAAGTGACAAGAAATACAAGATATATTTAAATCATTAACATAATATAATGCGCAATACGAAGCCACAGAGAGAGAAACAAAATATAATACTGTTTATTATAACAGGGAGTCCACCTAATATAGCTGCCAAGAAGCGTGTGCACTATTGTGTTTGTGAACACACTTCGCAGTGATCTTACCCAAAAGTACATTTAATGACCGACCGGGGTACTAATTATTACGATGTAAGACGTTTAAAACCGTGCTTGTGCCTCGCTCCCTATTTCCTAAGGGGCACTCCGGGGGAGTAGCGCTATACAATTTTGACTATTTTTATAATTCAAACGCAATTGTCTACGCATCTGTTTTCAATACTCTCCTTTAATGAAGTCATTAATTTCGGATATGTCACGTGACCCATATAAACGATGCTATCTCTTTCGACGATCAAGTAAAACAAATAATATTGCTGCGACGTCAAGAATCCAGAATGACTTTAATGCTTATTTGCCTACTTATATTCTGTATTACTATAGATTGTATAATGTAATAGGCCTATATCATAAACATAACGAAGTTTTTCTTAAAATTTCTTCTTCTTCTCGTCCCAGGCGCGGATCCAGGATTTCTTAGGGGTGGGGGGGGGGGGGGGGGGCCCAAATTTGAAATTATGCGAGCCAAATATTGGTACATATTGGTGACCAGCAGTGACGTAATTAGGGTGGGTGGGTGCAGGGAGGGGCGAGTTTTTCCCCTCCCTCCTCCGCGAAGCGCGGAAGCTTTGCCATTTCCATAAATTATTAGAGAAAGAAGACGATTCGCGTTGTACCATTCCCACAATGATCCTCGTCTGAATTATGTTCCCCCCCCCCCCATCCCGCGAGAAGCGCGAAAGCTTTTACGTTTCATTAAATCATTAGAGAAAGAAGACGATTCGTTGTACCGTTCTTGACTCTTAATCCTTGTCTAAATTCAGTTTCTCCCTACCCACCCCCCTACCGCGCAAAGCGCAGAAGCTTCAACGTTTCATTAAATTATAAGAGAAAGAAGACGATTCGTTGTGTCGTTATCGACTCTTAATCTTCGTCTAAATTCAGTTTCCCCCTAGCTTTTACGTTTCATTTAATCATTAGAGAAAGAAGACGATTCGTTGTACCGTTCTCGACTCTTAATCTTTGTCTAAATTCAGTTTCCCCCCCCCCCCCCGACTCCCGCGTGAAGCGCGGAAGCTTCGACGTTTCATTAAAATATTAGAGAAAGAAGACGATTCGTTGTATCATTATGACTTTTAATCCTCGTCTAAATTCAATTCTCCCCCTCCCGCGCGAAGCGCGGAAGCTTTCACGTTTCATTAAATCATTAGCGAAATAAGACGATTCGTTGTACCGTTCTCGACTCTTAATCCTTGCCTGAATTCAGTTCCCCCCCCCCCCCCGCTTCGACGTCTCATTAATTTTTTAGAGAATGACGACGATTCGTTGTTCCGCTCTCGAAAATAATTTAGTTTCCCCCACCTGCGCGAAGCGCGGAAGCTTTTACGTTCCATTAAATCATTAGCGAAAGAAGACGATTCGTTGTATACCGTTATGATTTTTAATCATCGTCTAAATTCAGTGTCCTCCACCCGCGCGAAGCGCGAAAGCTTTTACGTTTCATTAAATCATTAGCAAAAGAAGACGATTCGTTGTACCGTTCTCGACTCTTAATCCTTGTCTGAATTTCAAATATTTTCTTTGTCTATTCCCTTTTCTTCTTACGTCCTCTTCCTTTTCACTCCTCTCTTTTTTTGGCCAGCGTTTATGGGGGTCCACCCCACCGCCCCTGGCTACGCCCCTGCGGACAGATGAACATATGTTGATACCTTGTCCGCCCGGAAGCTCAGTGTTTTAAGGACTTAATTTACGGTCAAATTAGCATTCAGGGGCCCGCCTAAGGGCTCTTGGTTGGGTCCAGGGGGCAGAGCCCCGGAAGCTCAGGGGTTTTAGGCGTTTAATTACGGTCAGATGAGCATTTCTGATACCTTATTATGTGTGACACTGGCAGGACACTATTTGGCGTGGGGTCCATGGGGCGGGGTTTTAGGCATTAAATGACCGTCAGATGAGCATCTAATTAAGGGCCCGCCTTAGGGCCCTAGGTAGAATCCAGGGGCAGAGCCCTTGGGGTCTTAGGCATTTAATCATGGTCAGATGAGCATATTTTGATACCCCATTATAATGTGACACTGGCAGTCAACTATTTTTTCTTTCTCGCTCTCTTTCTTTCTATTTCTCTTTAATATACTTTTTCAAAGAAAGTGTGGGGGGGGGGCTCGAGCATCCCGATCCCCGCCGTTCCGCGGTCCCTGCTATGTAGGTATCTCAAGAAGCATTTTCTTGCCTGGCTGTAAATTTAGGAATTTGTCATTTTCCAACAAACGCATAAAGTGAGGAAAACTCTCGGAAAATTATCTCATTTCAGCATTATTTGTAAACCACCATTATGGAATTAGAAATAAACCACGTTTGAATTCTATTTCTCCAAAGCCCCCCCCCCCTCCCCTATCAGTACGCCAGTGCCCCCTCCCCCCCCCCCCCCTTCGATCTTCACCTTGTTGGCGGGAAAATTGCAACTGATATCCCTTACCTTTCTTTCTTCTCTTTTTTTTTCTTTCCCTTTCTCTCCTCTTTCCCTTTTCCTTCCCTTCCGCATCTCTCTTTTATGTTTTCGAGGGGGGGGGGGGGGGTGTAGGGGCAAGGTCATTTTGGTTCCCACCCCGCTCCTCACATTGTTGGCGGGATTAACCGCAACTGATCTCCGCTTCTTTTCTCCCTTTTCTCTTTTCTTCCTCTTTTTTGTTCCCTTTTAGCTCTCCCCGGGGGGGGGGGGGGTTAGGGCCTCCCCCCCGATCCACAACTTGTTGGCGGGAAAATTGCAACTGATATCCCCCTTCTTTTCTTTTCTTCTTCCTCTTTTGTCCTTTCCTGTATCTCCTCTTTTTCTTTTTTCTTTCCCTTTCCTTCCTTCTCTTTTATTTTTTGATGGGGGGGGGGGGGGGGGGGGGGAGGCAACAGCCTGGGAGGCAAGTCCTTTTGCCCCCGCCCCCGATCTCCTTCTTCCCTCTTTTCTTTTCTTCTTCCTCTTCTTTTTTCCCTTTCTCTCCTCTTTCCCTTTCCCTTCTTTTCCTTCTCTCTCTCCTTTTTTTTTTTTTTTTTTTTACGGGAGGTGGGGCCAAGGCCCGCTCGGCCCCCCCCCCCCCTGGATCCGCGCCTGTCTTCTCCTTCTTCTTATTTTTTTCTTCTTTTTTTTTTCTTCTTCATCATCATCATCATCATCATCATCATCATCATCATCATCGTCATCATCATCATCATCACTATTCTCTTCTTCTGCTTGGCGGTATAGATTCATTCGAACTCAATAATTCAACACAAATCGTTTCATGTATCTGTTACTATGGTAACATTTGACATAGTGGCAGACCTCGCAGTTCGTTTCATTATTAAAGAAGTATATATAGGGTGAAATTGATACTTATAACAATCACCGCCTCATAAACTAACTATCACCTGATTGGTCAATCACTGTTACGCTATGCCATGCGCTGGCAACCAGTGAAGGTTGGCATTGATTTCATTGGACGACCAATTAATCATGCGATCGATGTTTAACGAGCCGCAGTCCGGAGTCGTCTGCGCGATCTTGAAGTATAAACACATCAGTCGATGCGAGGTACATCAAAATATGTTTTTGTGTTCTTCTCTCGACTTCATGGACATTCAACAGCATGAAATTACTCCCGACTGTTCACCATAGTTATTCATAGTGTAGGGATCAGTTAGCGCATAGTCATTGTTATGGATGAAACCGAAGCTTGTGCCTAATTACATCTTGAAGGCCCACCAAAGTTGAACAACGGGGTTGAAGATTATTTTATGCTTTTTAAAAGATCTACTGGAGATGTGAACACCCTGATATATTTTCACTGTTCAACCGACCTTCCGCTCTAAATACTGAGTATGCAACACATCGTATCGACTTAAGTTATACTCATGGTCATAGACAACGAATGATTCAGTCATGGATACGACAGAAATCGTCAGCCTCTCCATCAACGTGATCGTCATGCTACTCGGACTATCGGGGAACGCCATTATCATCGCTGTTTACAGTCGAAAGAAAGCTAAGAAGAGCACCGATACATTGATCTTGTCTCAGGCGATTTTAGATTTCACGGGTGGGATCGTCGCCCCGATTGATATCATCCGTACGCTCGCTAACGCTGTCAAAAGTGACGCGCTCTGTAAGTTCACCATCTACAGCAGCCGAATCGTGGCGTATTCGGCTCTCTACCTTACCTCGGCCATCGCGGTAGATAGGTGTGTGCTCATAAAGAGACCGTTTGATCGCCGCACCTCGCCAAAAAAGGCGTTCATTGGTGTCGTATTCTCGGTGATGTTCGCAGGCGTCTCGCAGTCCTACAACTTTGTTTACGTTGATTTGGCAGACTTCGGAATCTGCGTAAGGCATGGAATGCCGGCGGCTGTTGAAATAGCTGTCTCGATCTTAACAACTGCCTCCTTTGCGACTACGCTCCTCCTGGCTGTCGTATGCTATGGCGTGATCTACGCCTCGATTCGTTCACAGGCTCGGGTTCGAGCCGCAATGGTCGCAGTGCCTCAGTCAACAGTGGGAAACACTGGCACCGTATGCGAGACTTATTCAACGGATTGCGGTTCGAATGTAGCTCCCCAACCCACAGACAATGGTCGCCAGAACATATTCATCGTAGGGGTAAGACCGAAGGAAAGCCTTGAAGTGCCCTTTGATGATAAACACGAAAATGGAATTTCCAAAGAAAGCAATGAAGATGCCCATCCCCAAGGTCGGGGGAACAACGAAGCATGCACGACAAGTGGAGATCAATCGGGCATATTTCATGCAATACCTCACCGATCACCGGAGAAGAAGGTTGTGCTGAGATCACGAGGAGACCACAAGACCACCAAGATGCTTCTCTTCACCACCATCATCCTTCTCCTGTTCTGGCTGCCTTCTACTGTCCTTAATCATGTCCCTGGTGATGTTCTGACAACATTCCGGAGACAGTCTGCAGGGATGAACGCTCTTATCTACTCATGCTTTGCCATTAGAAGCTTAAATCACATCGTCAACTTTTTCGTCTACCTCGTCGTCAACAAGCGATTTCGTGGAGATTGTAGGCAGATCCTAAAGAAACTATGGACACGCAATTAATTGTCGATAAACAATAATGATCATTTCATGAAGCTGTAAATTTTGCGATCTTTATAATGAGAAGTTTGCTTAAAATATGCACTCACGTATTCAGCTCACCAGTATGACGATAGAAACTAAATGGATTTTATTTCGTTAAATATTCGTATCTTCGCTCATCATACATTAGATTCTATGATGCGGGAATGACTTGAAATATGGTTTGAAATCAGTATCGCTTAGTGAGCGAGTGCTGACAAGCGAATAGTTACATAGCTCAGGGTCGTCAACCAGTTTTTAAAAGTGGATGGGCCTCTTTTCGAGGGAGCGGGTGAGAGTGTGGGAGGTGGTTGCCCCGCTCCTAACCTTCTCTGAACGGTAAGGACTATTTTTGGCGAATGCATGTAGCCTTTACACCACATGTAGGTGCCGGGGGAGGGGAATTTTATGATCCCCCTCCCCCCACCAACTTATGAATGCGAGGGGGTGTCCGCCTGTCTTCTGCCTGTAAACGCCCTTGAATCAGTCATTATGCATCTCAATCTCATAGGCCTAACGTTTGTTATTTTTGATATATTATCATCTTTCTTTGACATAGTGAGAACATCCAGGCGCCCAATAATATTTCAATTTTATTGTGGTTGAAGAAAAAAATTGTGTACACACGTAGTGATCTTACCCAAAAAGATCTGAAAATTAATTTAGGTAAATATCACACTTCAATGACGGCTCGGGTTTTAATCACTTCAAAATCACCAAAAAGATCTGAAAATTAATTTAGGTAAATATCATACTTCAATGACGGCTCGGGTTTTAATCACTTTCATCCTAGCTGCAGTATTGGGTTCAAGAAGTGATAGTGTGCCTCAGTAGTTCTTCCATGATTCTGCAAGGGGGGGCATAACTCTGATTATTACACCATTAAGGATTAAGGGGGCATTTTTTTCCTGTGTATTGAAGATATGCCAATCTGATTTCAAAGGGCGGGGATGGGGGTGACATGGTCGAAGATCCCTCAAATCTGCAACTGCTGTATCTTACAGAATAAGAAAGTTTATAAGTCCATGTAGAAAGAATAATTGTTATATATTATATTGTTTTCTACATAATTATTATATCTACAAAATAGTCGCCAACAAATACATCTTATAGAACTCTTTTGGAAGAATTTCAATCGCTATACTATACTCTCCCTCTTGTATTCATTACACGCATACGAATGAATACTCTCCGAAGCCATATCAAAATTTAGTTGGATATACCTCGAAATAGAAAGTGATATGTGTTTAAGTCAGAATGTGCTTATACATGTTCGTTAATTTCATGAACCACTGGCACAAGTTACCTCATTGTATACGTTATACGAGTTCCTTGAGGATGTCGATAAGTGATTTATTAGATTAAAGCTGTACAAATTGGATTAGGTTTGATAAATGTAAATTAAATTATTCAATTAAAAGAAAACGTCATAAGATAAATCTGCCATGTATATGTGTAATGTTGAATTGCATTGTATCATTATATGTTTCGCACATGTTGTTCTCTTTCATTCGACAGAAGACTACGAGTTTAATTTTATGTGAAATGATGTCTGCCTAAATCTTTGAGGGTAATTTTTAAATACAATAAAATAAACATGTAGATTCTTTTTTTATTTGTTAATTTGCTCCTAATTTTGACCGGTAGGTTTTATTGGATTTTTTTTAAACTGACAATTTGTAAAATAGAAATGACTAAACTTATATTAGGTTTGTAATAAACGTTGTTTGTGGAGTGAAATATTTGAATCTTCTTTTCCTCTCTTTTTTGTTGGTGCTGACTTATAATAATAATACTGTTTACTCGGGAATGCCTCATCAACATCATTAATTTTTTTTTCCTGCAACTATTATTACCCCAGTAATCGCCGAGTATCTATTTGCACCTGGGCTGGGAGTTGAAAATGTGGATTAATGTCTTGACAAAGGACGTTAGAGCCGGGCTGGGATTCGAATCCTCAATCCTTAGATTGAGAGTCAATTGAATCAACCACTATACCAAGACAAGCCACATGTTCATGCTCTCATGAGACGGTTATTTATCAATAAAGACTCCTGATTGAAATCAAGCAGTGATAAACAATTCAACCGCTTTTGCCAGCAAATTGACACATTTAGCGTGATAAAACATTATTAATCTAATATTGAATATATTGAATACATTATGCATAATTATAGTTAATCATATCAAACCATTTTGAACAATAAAATTATTGTTATTATATAATGGTCTGCTGGCCTGGACCCCTTAATTATTGATGTTCATGTATGAACCTTGGTTTATTGTGCTTTGTATAAATATAACGTTGTTAGTATTCTAGGGTTTATATAACTCTACCTTGATACAGAAAAGGAGACAACGACCAGGCGCGGATCCCCCCCCCCCCCGCAAAAAAAAAAGGAGAGAGAGAGAAGGAAAAAAGGAAAAGGGAAAGAGGAGAGAAAGGGGAAAAACAAGAGGAAGAAGAAAAGAAAAGACGGAAGATGTAGATCGGGGGGGGGGGACAAAAGGACTTGCCTCCCAGGCTGTTGCCCCCCCCCCCCCCCAATCAAAAAATAAAAGAGAAGGAAGGAAAGGGAAAGAAAAAAGGAAAAGAGGAGATACAAGAAAGGAAAAAAGAGGAAGAAGAAAAGAGAAAAAGGGGAAAACGACACAACAAATCGTCTTCTTTCTCTAATGAAACGTAAGCTTCCGCTTAGCGCGGGAGGGGGAAAACTCAATTCAGACGAGGATTATTTTTTGGGAACGGTACAACAAATCGTCTTCTTTCTCTAATAATTTATTGAAATGTCAAAGCTTCCGCGTTTCGCGGAGGAGGGAGGGGGAAACTCGCCCCTCCCTGCACCCACCCACCCCCAATTACGTCACTGCTGGTCACCATTACGAACCAATATTTGGCTCGCATAATTTCAAATTTTGCCCCCCCCCCCCTAAGAAATCCTGGATCCGCGCCTGATGTACATACAACGGCAACAGTTTCAATATAAAATGTAAGTTCTTCTTACTTAAATCATTGGTCTGGAAACAATTATTTGCCCATTGTTGTGTATTGTATTACATTTTCACTGACAATGACTTCACATTGTAATGCAATTTTCAAGTTTCCCAGGCTTATTTAGGAGAACAGAAGATTGATATTGTTTAGTTGTACGATAACATCACTCAGTTTGATTTGATTTGATTGGAGATATATCTCATTAAAAACAGAGTAAAGGCTATACAGCTCAAACAAACCTACACCATTAAACTTCAAATTCACTCACACATGATTTATTGCGACACTTTCAAGGCTACTTATTATTTCAAGTTCATGTATATACAAAGGGCAACAGCTTCAATATTAAACGTAATTAAATCAATGGTCTGGAAAATGTTAATGCCCATTGTTGTATATTATACAACATTTTCCTTAACGATGAATATACATTGTATAATGCAATTTTCAGGAAAACCATACTTGTCATTACTGTTATATTTGTTATATGATACTAAAGCAAATCGTTTCGCTTATCGATAAGATAAATCAATGTGAAGTACGTGTCAAATAATGAAATCATTACGTGCTATTTTTAACCGGACTAGACATTTGAAACGTAAAAAAAATGTATACACTATTGACAGCAAGCACGTTTTTTAAACAAAGAATTCAGAAATTGAACAACAGCACATTTTAGTCTACACGGCATGCTCTACACCCTTAGTTGGACTGTAAACAGTTGTCTTCTTAAGTCTTCCATATAAATATAAATTTAAAGGAGGTCAATAATCATTATGAAAACACCACTTTCGTAAGGTTGACACATCGATATATATTGTGCACACATGTAACAATGCGATAATATTTTTTCTTGGGGGGGGGGGGGGGACGGGAGGAGGGCAATCCAAAAAGGGACTGATATGTGAACATTAATATTGATAGGTCGCTTCACAAAAGGGGCATACATAGTCCTTTTTTGTGGATAGTTTTTTGAGCAAAACACAAAATAGGTGGAAGGACGGGGTACACGTCTTCCTTCAATTTTCTGAGGGGGATCGTCCCCCATGGATAATTTGAAAAAGTGCACACCAACAAAATGTATAGCAAATACTGACTAAAGACTGCAACACGCTTTAAGGCTCTGGTGGGCCCAAGAGTACAGCGTTTAGACTAATAGAAATGCTAAAATCTTCTCGCTCGGTCGCTACGCTCCTTCGCATAATATCCTAAAAATATACAAGTAAATATTGAAGAAAATATGTATTCTGTTGGTATCACGTATGTACAAATTACACTGTATGTTAACAAGATTAAAAGTTATAGAAATAGATCAGTGTTCCAAAAATGAATATTCAGCTTGCTCTTTTAAGAAGTCCCTTCCTGCTCAGTACTTACTAAAATTTACCTAGTAAATATTTACAACCATTCGGACTGCACACTAGATATCGGCAAAGTAAAAGTGAAGCGTGAAAAAAGTATATTGCTTGTTTTTATGCTTTAGTTTTGCTAAAGAATGTAATTTTGTAACACAACAAAACTTCAAAAACCTGTGAGGGGTTTACATATAAGACTTATCATACAGCTTTATAGGGGGTAGTCCCTTCCGTCACCTCCGCCTCTTTCACTGGCGTACTGATGGGGGGGGGGGCAGTAACCCCCCCCCCCCCAATACAATTTAAACATGGGTTATTTTTAATTTGATACCAGTGATTTACAAGTATTGCTAAAATGGGAGTATTTTTCCATGAGCTCCCGGGGGCTCTACCCCCTGGAACCCACCAAGGGCCCTAAGGCGGGCCCCTGTTTGCTCATCTGGCCGTAATTAAATGCCTAAAGTCCTTGAGCTTTCGGGGGCTCTGCCCTCTGGACTCAACCAAGGGGCCTAAGGCGGGTCCCTAGATGCGTAATTTGGTGCCTAAAAGCCCTTCCGTTATGTATTTCTTATGTATTGCTTTGTCTTTCTTTCTCCATATCCTCTGCACTCTCCTTATGTATTTTTTGTTTT